ATTTTACCAAATATTATATTCGAGTTCTAAATATTAAAAATTGACGTGTCGATTCTTAATATTACAGTCGTACATTTCCGTCTCTTTAACTTTCATAAATTATAAATATATTACAAATTAATGAGACATTGCATTTAATCTATTGTAATGCCAGTATCTATTTCGACTAATACATATTAAATTTGCATTCTAAAATATTTCTTTTAAATTTTCTAAAAATAAGATTGTGTGTGTGTGTGGGTGTAAAATATACAATTTTATTTTTAAAAAATTAAAAAAAAAATATTTTAGGATGCAAATTTAACATGTATGAATTCTATATATATTGGAAGAATAAACAGAAGAAAAAAATGTATTACTTCTTGCAGTAATATTATGATTTCTGTTTGGAATCATAAAAATAAAAAAAGCTGTTCTTAATGAATAACGAGAATTCGATATGAAAGCAAAGCGAAAGACAGGGAGATTCATGTAAATAAAGATTACATTATCTCGTTGCTGTCACCAAAGACATACACTTGTTTCGTACAGAGTCGCGGTAACTATTACTTCCCTGTTGCATTTAATGTCTCTAAAGGACATACTCGATTTCGATCCCGCGGTACAGTGCCACCCATTGTCTCTCGCTCTCTGTCTGGTACTTGTTTTCTTTTCCACTCCCTATCCCGCCTCTCTTCACTTCCTCGTAGTCATCCTCTTCCACTTCGCCACATTCTCTCTTCTCTTGCCTCTTTCTCTCTCTCTCTTCTCTTGCCTCTTTCTCTCTTTCTTCTCTTGCCTCTTTCTCTCTCTTCTTTCTTTCGTTTCCTCGTTCTCTTCCTTCTTCTCCTCCTCGCCACCGTTTCTGTGTCTGTCTTCCGGACGGAGGAAGGAAGCGCTCCAGGAAATTCATTTGCAGAGACGTGGCACCGTACAGCAAAACACGAATGATATATTTACATGGTGCCGAGGGAGAAACCGGGCGAGATGGATTTACTCGGGAAAGGTTTATCGAGCGTTACGCCAGAGGGGTGAAGGAGGGGGAGGAAACGTGAAATGTATTTTTTGAAAGGAGCCCGCTAATCCACTCTCGAAGCCGCGCGGAAGTTCGTCCACAGTTTTTGCCCTCATCCGCCTCCGATGAATTCTCCCTAGCCGGGCTTTCGGGCGTGGCCGAAAAATATGTGACGTGAGTTTGAACGCGACTTATTTCGACGCTCAACAGATCCCGGTTGACGTATACACATATATATCATAAAAATATTGCATACAGAAAATACAGCTCATATATTAATAATTTTTTTTTTTATTTTGCGTGCTATAATATTAAATTCTACGCGAGTGAACTTGACTAAAATATATATTACAAATCCAATAATACATTATTTACATATTTATTTATTTATAATATAAACATATCTAGTGAAAAAGTTGATCACACATAATACAAATAATATATAACCTCAGAGATAGAAAAATTAAAATTTTAGTAAGATCTTTATAGTAATAATATTATTTTTAATTAAATTAATATTAATTAAAGTGAATTGGAGGAAGATTCGTGAAGATTGAAATATGAAAGAAAATAAGTCAATTTCGGTGCTTTTGTGTACTTGAACGACATTGCAGGAAAAAATTAATTTATTTTCCGCGAATATACTTATCTCGCTTCGTATGCGAGCCATAAGATTCTACGAAGGAACGAGTACATCGATAATATCGGGCCGTCTTTTATTGCTTCGGAAGCTTCCGACAAGCTCTCGTCGTTTATCTTGGCGTGTCAACTACAGTCGCTGCTTATAGCTTGTCGTTTAATAATATACTTATCAATATTATGCCGTACATTTATCTCTAGAATAATCGCTATTGCATTTTATTGCATTGTATTGCTTGCAGCAGTTGTGCCCGTGAGCCAATTGTCAAACAACAAAGCGACGACGTTAAAAGTCCTAGTAATAAATAAATTCTACAAATACACGTGTCACGATGTGGCTAAATTAAATACAAATCGGGCTCGATTAACGGATTGTGCACTGAATAATTTCCCGTGAAAATACTGTATGGCTTCTAGTCCGTTGTTTGTTGTATCGTCGGCTCAAAATTGTCGCCATCTCCGAAAAGTACATGTTAAGTTATTTCATTACACAGTTTTGCAATTTTTTCAGAACAGGAATTAATGTGCAAAAGATATATTTTTCTTATAGACTTTTCATATCGAAATGACTGAAAGTATTTAATTCAATTGATTTAGGCGGCTCAATCCATTCATCAGATATATTATATAAAATTATTATATTGTCTCAATAATAGGATAACATTATTTACTATAATTTCTCAAAACGTGACGATAATCTATAACCGAAGAAAAAAGGTCTGTCAGTCAGATGAGAAATCGAGTTGAAAGATATTCTCCTGCAAATTGCTCTAATCTCATAATTTTCTCTACGAAGAATTAAATTAGATCGTATATCGTACACTGAGAAAAAAAAGTTGTTGACTTGACTAAGTTCGTCCAACTAATTACTATTTCTTTGTATTTCTTTAATTAAAATATTTAAGTATTTAAGTCAAATATACGTCATGTTAGATTTAATATGTCGTATTTGATTTAAATATTTAAAATATTTCAATTAAAGAAATACAAAAAAATAGTAATTAGTTGGACAAATTTAGTTAAATTAATAACTTTTTTTCTCAGTGTATTACACTAGAAAGCAATTTGTCAGGATGTAATCGTGGGCTCTTTATATTCGCTAGAAGGTTCTCGACGGAGATTTGCAATGGAAACAGTAGAAAAGACCTTACGTAGTCAGACGCGACGGGGTAAAGTCCGTTGTCGAAATTGCCCGAAAGGTCTCTCGCTATCGGCCTTGCAGACGTACAAGCGGGCATACGCGAGGGTGTCGGTATCTACGCTAAAATACGTAACGAGCTCTCTTTACGGTTCGGCTCACCTTAATTTACGCCTTAATTTCCCATGGTACCGCAAGCGCTCGCTCGAGTCGATTTCGCGGTTCGGGCAATCAACCTAAGGATGAGATCTCACGTAAGGACGTACTTGCATCATGTAAACTCATGTTTTGTCCTATTGCGTTACATTATCGAACGGACAAATTATAATACGTAGATATTATATCCGGTTACTATGATTTGTCATTCGAATTGTTCGATGACGCAAGTAAAACATTTTACTGAAATTTATGGCGATATCATGTCTTTTATCGGTGATTCTCACACTGTAAAAATTATAATAAATAAATTTATCAATATTATAAATTTATCAATATTCTGTACGAAACAATACAAATCAATTGACGAATAAAATAGAAAGGTTTCGATTGTAGAAGATTCACGGATCGACGATAATTTTATCTAGTTATCTATAATGTGATATACATAATATAAAGCGAGTGAGCTTGCCGATAGCGTGACGTAACGACAACGCGCTCTTATTCCTAATTGCCGCCGTGATATCTCAACGCGTCGGTCATCATCGATCCTATGCGTTTTTGCACGACCGATCTCTTCGAAACGAGACGTACGGATTTTGCAAGCACCCCGGCGAAAGTTCAGACTCACGGTGATTAAGCGCAAGCGAGAATCTCTTAGTACGAGGTGGCGTGAGGTCAATCGTCTCGTCCTTCGTCTTCTCGTAACCGAGAGTAACTAGTCCGTCACCCTGTCCGTCTTCGGGACAATGCGGCGTCACATGCAACCACAAGCCTCCACCACCATGTTCGGCAATGTTTTCTGCGTGATCGTGTTGTTCGTGTTGATGTAGAGCAGCTGAAGCGGAGCGAGCTGCGTCGGCGAGCAGCACGGCACTATCTTGCTCCTCTGCTGGCTCCCATCCTTGGCCAACAACTTCTGCAAGAAGAAGTAACGCGTATTTTCGCGTTTAATAATTTCTGAGGATTGCGATTGGAATCAGTAGAATGAGTTTATCATTGATATGACTTTTCAGCTCAAATTTTATAAAACTATGTGGAAATATACGTAAAATTATAATAAAGAATATAAGAGAAATTTTTTATGGAATATATAAATATGATGAAAAAATTTGAAACTTTCTTTATTGTTCTCAAATATTTTTTTTAAATATGGTATTTACAGAATAAAATAGTTCCGTTGATAAATTAGAAAAAATATATGAATATAATTGAAATACATATGTAACTGATTTTTTAAGAGAAATTTTTAATAGTTGTTTAAAATTAATTATAAATTTTATTTAATTTCTGCAATAATAAATTAGATAATTAATATATTGCTCTTATTCCGGAAGATAGCTTTAGATTCACTAGAAATTTGATTGTCAAAATTGAAATAAATTTTGGAATAGATTTTAATCATTTTTGCGCGAGTTGCAGTGCTCGGTGTTTTAATAATGAGACGTTTCGTGAGAAATAATGAAAGGGAGAACGGATGTGAGAAGCGGTAGAGAGCGAATATACCGTTCTTTTCAATCACCCGCGGGCTACTGAACATAAGAAAATCATCTCCATTTCGCGTATGCAAACGATATTTCTCGCGTCACGCTTCGTATATGGCAGAAAGCATAGACGTAAGTTAATGGGGTTTTACGTTGCGTGATAATGGAGTCTTAACGCCCCATTATCGTTACAAGTTGCAAACTATATTACCCACGTTATGTGCCGCGAGTATAACAAGAGTGCCTCCTCCCGACTTTTATTAACAATTAATGCGGGTAATAAAGGACGCGGTTATGCAGCACGATTATATTTTTAACATTAAGTAAAGCGTAAATTGGCCGTAAGAGATAGAAAAGAATTATTTTCCCTGGTGTGAACACTTTTTATAGAACTAGAATTATAAAAGAGCTATGTGCGAAATTTCCCCTTCTTTTAATGACAAATTTTCGTATTAAAGAAACACAAAGGATCATGGGAACATTTCCGATTAAGTTTTCGTTCAAGTATTACTTTATCACATATAGAAACCAAATTTTTAGATAAAATTCTACTCGATAGGAATGTTTAAGACGTTAACAATTTTCTCAATAGAACGAAATAAATCTCTTTAATGTGGAATGTTTTCCAATCATTAGCTTCCGAGACTGTTATCAACAAATTAATAAGTCTTCGACATATCAGCGAGTTTGCTATTGGCAATATGCTTTACGTAACGCGATACGATCGCCGGTAAAACCGCGGAGAGATACGCAATTTTCGAAATAGTGAGAGACACGTGACGTCAGCGTCTTTTCCGCGCCACCTCTTTTTACAAAGAAAAAACGAATATAAATCTTACTCTGACGACACATTTTCTTCCGCAGCGCGATAATTGGTTGTTACGCATCTGCGCTCCGTACGATCTGACATGAGCGAGATAAGAGAAATTGCCACGTTATTTAAACAGATAAAATACGGAAGTTTTTCTTTCTTGTTCCTTTTATGCAACATGTGCAAATTGTAATGTAGATAGGACAGAATAGCCAATAACATAATCACATTAAGATTAGCTAATTATTATCTGAGAGTTCTTATAATTGTGAAAAGTATTGATATGAGATACAAGAATAAAATGACAATTTTTAGCAATAATAAGGGAAACTGAACGATACTGTATAATGAAAAATATATTGTCATGTTAAAAAATAAAAGAAATAAAGTTGAGAACGATATTTATTAGACAATATCTTTATAAATATATATAGCAAGTAGATGATTATCTTTTCGTTTGAAAAATTTCAAAATCTTAAATATTAAATTTCAAGCACTTATTTTAAAAATAAGTAAAAAATAAATAAATTTTAAGTATTTATTTTAAAAATTTAAATTTGAACTACAAATCACAAAATCACAAAATCAATTAAATTTAGTAGTAGTAAACTTTTTAACATACTAATGTCATCAGTGTTATTAATACTGCTTGAAGGAGAAAAATATCTCCACTGTTAAATTATTTCAAATTACATCCGTACGATTAAGCATTGTTAATTAAATCTTTGACCGACTTCCAAAAATGTAAAAAAGAGAGCGCTCACCCTAATAACGTTGTTATAAGATGAACCACCGGTAGTTAAGGATGCTGCTGTGGAGCAGGATCCTCGGCAAAAGTACGCGTGATATCCGCTCGGATGCAGAATCCAGTCGCTCCAGCCGATGTCTTGAAAGTTAATATAGAGATCGTCTCGGCAGCACTCCTTCATCTCGGGCAGGCAATTCGAATTCCTTTTGGGCCTATTTCTCTGCGGCAACGGCGCCGTGTGAATTACCAAGAACGGCTTCAGAGTCTGTTCGACGGATACCGGCGCGATGTCGTGGTCGGTCGAGCAGGTGGTACAAGCTATCTGAATGGCGTGCTTCAATCGGTGTCGACCTATCCATTTCTTCACCATGAATTTTATGTCTGTCTTTACCCAACCCTCTAGAAAAAAAGATCGGTATTTCATGATATGCAGCGTTGCATGACGAATCCAGAGAAATTTGTTGCACATCGCAAAATCCAACGTTTTATAGAAAAAATACGATCTACTCCAAATTAATTAAATTACTTCAAGTAATTAGAGGGTAAATTTTTGCCTATAAAATTCTACATGCAATTTTTTATCAAGATTATTAAGTAATACTTTTCTAGTAAACACTTGTGAATATTACTGAAAAAATATTAATTAAAGTATTAATCGTAAAATGTAGTACAAAGTTAAATTATGTCAATTGTATGAAAGAAGAATAAATGTCTATCTCTTTAATTCACTCAGACATCATTTAGGGTAATAAGTCATATTTACATTGTGATAATTTACTTATACGAGAGGCAATATCATTGTAGAAATGCTTTTCTCGGCTTATTGTTTCATCGGTCTAAAGTCCTTAATATCAGGGCTAAATAACAACTTCAGTAATCTTTAGCAGATGATAGAAACCAACGTTAATTGTTATAAATTCCTTTTCTTATGTGCTTATTTGTATTGTATCCATTATTCGCGTCTCACGATTTTTAAATGCAACGATCACATCTTGTCGCATTTTCGTTAATAAATCCCTGTTTTTAATTTAAATGTTCGACAATCATATCTCGTGGCGATAAATATTATAAGTCGTTCCGCGATATGAGAAAATTATTTTTTGTCATTCGTATCAAATTTTCGGTAAGAAGCGAAAATGTGATGTGCAATGGGGGACTGATTCGCAAGTGCTTGCACTGCTACGGGATAACGAAATTTCGCAGTGGAAGATTTCTGTGCGACGTGGATTCGTGACTGATGGACGGAAGAGGATGGGGAGGAGGGTAGAATTCTATCCGACATTTACCCACCTTTAATGTCGGTTTCGAAGATTGCCATGACGGTGTTCTTTTCGAATCTGCCGCCCAGATCCCAATGATCGAGTTCGGATAGGACGAAAGTCTGGTTGAGCTCGTCATCATTCTCGACCTGCTCCTTGTAGAACCAGAGTTCCGCCGAAGTCACGTCGACGTATAGCATCTCGTTCGACAGGTTAAACGTGAAACAGGCCGCCGAGTTGAAGCCCGTTATGTGATTCGAGCTCTGACGATATTTCGTCGAATGGTCTACACCTGTAACACACGAAATCATCGGATTTCGATCGTTTTCTCGAGAGAGCGTAGTAAACTCGCTTGACTGGGAGATTTCACGCAAAGGGCCGAAGAGAAAATCCGATCGTAGATAATGAATCGACTTTTCTTGCTAAATTCTTTGATCCCTGACACTTTGAGGTTTTTAAATTTGAAAATTAAATGTGGAAAATGATTTATTTTAAACGCGATATATATATGAACATGTTTTATTATATAATTTTAGAAATATATATGTAGATGAACTTAGGATATTTGATATAAAAACATAAATGGAAAAATGATTAGTAAATAATTAAAAAATAAATGGAAAAGAAGAGAACAGTGAATCCTTAAATCTCGTTTATTAATTCAAGAATATATCTTATTTTGAAAAGTTTAACGATACACATTTCTTTACGTAAAAATAGAGCACGCGAGGAAAAATTGTTTCTTAAAGAAGAAACGATGTGCGAATATGAATTATTTTATTTTTTATCTTATCGTTAATTTTAATATTTCTCATTTGACGTGAGAGTATCAGATAGCTATTCGGTTGCTTCTTCTCTATGACGAACGCATATTTGCGGGCTATCCTATTACAAATTAATTTAGTACGCCAACGAACGACATTGGAGACTCAGTTATTCGAGACTTTTGAGATTACGCCTTTGGCTTTGCGCGATCGGTCTGCAATTTACGATGATACTCGAAGTAAGCCTCAAATGGAACCACAATTATCTGGAAAAGTGCGCTTTAAAAGGCCGTCGACAAAGCCGGGTTAAAGTGCGGCAAAGGATATTTCTAAGCGAGCATGTGCGATAAGTGAATGTGAAGTTAAACAGAACATTGATAATTGAATCATCCACGTGCGATAAAAAGAAATCCATTATTATAAAGAAGAATTATACAGAGAGAGAGAGAGAGAGAGAGAGAGAGAGAGAGAAACAAGATATTTAATAATTATTTTTAGCTATTTATATTCTCTACATATATATTTGTTGGGTTATAATTATTAAGCTATTTGTTTTTTCGCGATATATATGAAGGAGGAATTTTGCAATTTATTACAATAAAAGTTCTGTTAAAAGTTTCAAATTAGCAATTCTAAGTCAATTTTTAAAATCCTTGATACCATAGATTGCTCTTTTTCAATTAAATTAATTTTCGATCAATTTTTAAAAATCAATTTTCAATTTTTATTAAATTAAAATCATTGATTTTTGATAATAAAAATTGATACGAAAAACGGTTTTACAACTTTTGATCGATGCCGACTTCCATAGCGATTCCGCGATATAACGCGCTATCAAGCGCGTCGAAATTATTTCCGAGCGGATTCTTGGCTGATCAACGCCGCGTCCGATTGATCACCAATTTTGCATGATTTATAGCCAAGGATTATACAATGTCAGGCATTAGAGTGAATCCGTACCGTTTTACATAACACGTGCCAAATGTCAGTAGCAGTATATCCGCATGCGCGCCAAATTTTTCTCGGTGTACATCATGCATTTTTCTCATCCGCTCGATACACGCATGTTTATTGCATCCGTCGATATGAAAATATTTACACATTAAACATATACGAATCTTCTTCTCTCCCAGGAAATCCTTTATAGTTTCTTTATAATACTATAAAATTATAAAATTATCAAATACAAATAATTAAAAAAAAATATTATATTGAATTTTGCTGAGATATAAGACATTGGTCGGAACGTAAACAATTTTCCAGTATATTAGATCATTCAAAGATTATCGTAGCATAGATGTGAGATCTCGCTGATTTCGCGAAACGTTAAAAATTTGCTCATATTGGTTTTCCTTCGAAGCATCCTCGAAGCTCATAAGTTTTACATTTACATGCGCGATTTCCGGGTCGAGATATTCGCAGAACAGATTGCGACGTATCTCCAGGACATACTCGAGCGTGAACTACTTTCTGATGTCGCGAATTCGACAGCGCGATGAACACTTCCGGTTCGCTGGCCTCGACCATCGTAATCTGTAGCTCTCGCACTGAAATTATTGCGGAATAACGAGACCGAATGTTCCGCGCCGATATTACGATTTACATATGTGCGTGCATGTGGTACGCCCGCGTTAGATTCGTGTTGGAATTAGATAAAAAGTGAATTGGATTACGCCGGATCGGTTTGTGTAATTTCCGTATCGGAAAGGAAGATATGAAATATATGTAGTGTCGTGTCATTTGGTACTAATAGCTGCGGGCTACAGTTAACATCATGTCATCGCGAGTGTGCAAAAACACGATTATATTGTACAATTCTTCTTTTTTAAATCTGGTATTATTGCGAATATGAATACAGAAAACATTGGTTCACGAATTGTGAATAGAAAGGTCGTAATTTAATTCTGAAACTTTAACTTTTTTAAAGACTTTTAAATTTTATGAAATGATCTAGAGAACAGAGAATTCGATAGCGTGATGCTCGAAAAATTAAAACTTGTTTGTTAAAACTAATGATTCCAAAAAAACAAAAACACTTTTTTTCTATTTACAAATTGAGCTTGAATAACTGTTCATTAGCAATCTGCAAATGGTTGAATATTTTCGAAACAACCTACAAATATAAAACCATGCAAACTAAAAAATATTTTTAAAATTTTTTTTCACGAATTCGTACTTAAGAAATTTTTCGACTTTAGACGCGAGAGATAGTGTGATAAATTCTCTTCTATAATTACCTCGTATATGTTTTTCACAGAATTGTAAAAACATATAAGAGATTTATCAAGATAACAACACATTCTTTTTCAAAATCTTTCTCTCGAGAAGCAGGAGAATATAATATATATATATATATATATATATATATATATATATTAGTGTTATCTCAAGTAGTTCCTTTCTCTGTACCAACTTCAAGATTAAAATGAATAATCACGAATTAAATATATCATCTACTTCGACTCGTCAAAATCATACCTTCGTTCGGGAATACGATGACCTGGTCAGTTTTCCCGTAGAAATGTTCCGCCGGTTTTTCCGGCTCGGGCGGTGCTCCTGGTCGAAGTTCGAGCACATTGCCGTTTATCAAAGGCTTCGGCAAGGTCGACAGCGGCATCGAGACCTCGGGCGGCTTCGACAGCCGCAGCTTCTTCAGGATCTGCTGCTTCACGTACTCCACTCTCAGTTCGGTCAAGAACGGGTCGGGATCGATTATGTTGACCTTATTCTGCGCGCAACCGATACAGTCGTTTTCCTCACTAGTCAATAATTCGGACGACGAATGAGGGACCAATGTGTACCATACTTTCATCAATGGACTGGTCATCTTTGACCAGTCGGCCACAATGCCGCCCGCTAGGAATATAATAAAAAACGGCATAAATAGCTGCATTTTTCTATCGCAATTCAGACAACGATTGATCTTAATCGATTCTTCTTTAATTTGTCTTCTTCTTTAGCTGATTTTAATAATGTTTCGACAATGTTTTAATTATTTCGTCGACATCGAGTTTGATGGACGTCGAGTTTAATCGGCAGTATATATTCTGTGACATTCAGTGGCCTCTGTATATCATCAAGAAAATGTCGAATATTTTATCGGCTAACTTTTAAGCTTAGAAATTAGGATCTTCTGTCGGACTAATTTGTCTCTGATGCATGGATATTTCGTGCGAAAATAATATATATAATATATGTATAATTTTTAAAGTCGGTTTATGTCATTCGAGTTGTGTCGATCTTCTACGAATCCTCTTTTCTTCTGAAAATTCCAGTGATACTATCCAATTTACGTAATAATATATCAATCTTATTTACAAAGTTGTAGCAGGTTAGATGGGTCACTACAATCATCGAGTCGATATCTCGCGAGATTGCGATTTATGGAACCATGTTGTCGATTACAGCTTCATTCTTCTTATTTCTTTAAGCACTATTATATTTCTGCATTGCAAATATCAACCTGCAGAGTCGGCAGCGACTTTTGTACGAACGTGAGGAAAGGTCGACATCCGATCGTGTCGCGGATCGATTCGCGAGGACGACTTTCCTCCGGATTGACCGACGTCTTCAACGACGCATTTACGGAGACTGGAGGTGAATCGTTACGATGATCCGGCGATGTAGTTGACTCTGCAGAGGCTGTATGAACTTTGCTCCGCAGCCGCCGGGACCAATACGGATTGGATGAGGGCGACAGCGATGCTGATATCAGCTCAAGCACGCGCCGTGAACATGCTGCCGATGAGACGGGTGGTTCATTGGCGGTTCCTGAAATCTCAAATCTGTTTTAGTAGGTTGGAGTTTATCGCTGCTCTGGTGGAAGGTGTCTTGCTCGTTGATTGACATCTCGGTGAACCGTAAAAGATTCTTTCCCTCGATGAGATCAATGTAGTTCTTTGATATTATGAAGCGAGACAAAAAACATATATGATGAAATGTTTTAACTTTCTTTCGTGAATGATATATGTAGAGATAGAAAGCATATATCTTCGAAATTGCTATATATGTATACATACATTAATTTGTATCTAATTTTTTTTTATAACAGGAAATTAATGTTTCTTTCTCTTTAATAAATATATTTATAGATTTATTAAAAGATAAAATGAATATTTCATATATATAATCGAAAGCTAAAATTAATTTTTTTAAATGTTTTTATTATTGATTTCCAGTTTTACTTTTATAACTTGTCTCTGTAAAGAGAGAGAGAGAGAGAGAGAGAGAGAGAGAGAGAGAGAGAGAGACTCATGACTCATCAAAAATAATTTCTGAGATTGTAACTATTCCTTTCTTTTGGATTTGAGCTCGAATAGTAACAAAATGACGCATATTCATATCGCTTGATTACACTCATTTGAGTGCGCTTATAAGGCGAATGTTTACTGCAAAAAGACTGACATATGTTTCACCGCAGATTAGTGTCAGCGTTTCTTTGAGCTGAGGCCTGCAATTCGTGGTTCATCGGAGCGCTCATCTCGTTTCTCGTGAAAGATGACCCATCTCGTTAATCCGGAAATGTCAAGTATTTATCAAGTAAAATCCGAGTAAAATGGCAAAAGAGCCACGCGCAGTTTTTAGGGCGCAAAGGTATATAATTTAAACCAAAAAATAAATTAAAAAATTTTTATTTTTTTGATAGTTTGTCTAGACTGTTTTCATATATATTTATTTATTTATTACTTTGATTTTATACTACAGACAATGCTGATATTGTTTTTCATTTTACTGTTTTGACAATCTAATTTATTTTGTATCGTTGTTTACCGTTATTGGTAACATTTGTTTTTATCATCTCACCTTTTTCGCCGAACAATACGTCTCATTACTCTGTTGTTAGTTAGTGAGTTTAGTTAAGATTTTGCGTTGCTGAAAAATTTTTGCTGTCGACTTGTGCGTTGCGTCTCTTTTATGTAAGTCTTACTACTGTAATTTCCGACACGGATCCTCTCTCTCTTTTCGTTTTTTGACACAAACCATTCCACTCAAATTACAGACACAATTATTAACGTATCACCATGTTCGTGGATTCATGCTTAAAGAATCGAGGTTTCTGCCCCGAAATAACATGGACTACATGGAGAATGGTTTTTGCCCTTTGGAGCGACATGAGGGATTACGCCTTCTACCGTTGGTTACCATGTAACTCTGCGCTTTAATTGATTAAGACTCTTCCTGTATGCCGTTTATATTGTTGAATTTGGTATTATTTGCGCTGATGATGGCCAAAAAAAGGGCCGAAACGTCCGCCTTTCGCGAATCATGTAATTAAAGAAATTCTCTAATTTTTTAATTTATTTTTTGGTTTAAATTATATACCTTTGCGCCCTAAAAACTGCGCGTGGCTCTTTTACCTTTTTACTCGGATTTTACTTGATTTTAATCGTGTAAGAGCCTTACTTTTATATCTTTTCAAGTATTTATCTTTTCTTTTCTTTTTGGACATATACAAGCGAATTTAAAACATCGCAAATGCAACGAATACTTTTTGAGGCGCCAAGATTATTTATTTATTGAGCATAGCGAGTCGCTTTCTTTCGATAGCGCCACTTTGCTGGGAAACATTGTAGCATGAAATATGCTTGCATTTGAATTCTACGCCTCGTACTTTTAGTTTAATAAATCATGCGAATAAAAGTTTGTATAAGAAGAATAGCATTCGTAAAAAAAAAAAAGAAAAATACTGCACTAAGCGCCTTAACACACATACACATTTCTATCTGTTTGACATTAATAATTGTGGTGAAAGTAGTTTTCCCTGCATCCCGTATTTCGATATTTGAGTGCTTTTTTCTTTTGTTCTCGTTTTGTTAATTCATCGGACTTTATGATTCACAAATTGTGGTCCAGCGTTGAATTATCCTGTAATTTGCGCTGGACATGGCGCGTGTAATCAGCAATTCGCGCACGTCGCTCTCATTTGCAGAATCACGGTGCTTGTTTGTGTTATCTTATTTTCGGTATTATCAAATGTATAATTTTTCGAACTGATTTACGCGCACATGTAACGTCATCATTCAAATAATGTATAATAATATTTTATGTTTGTCATTTGATAAGAGCAAAAGTTTTATTTAGTCTCTCATTCAACAATATGACAACATGATACATTTTGTCGATAAAATATTGACTGCGCATATATATATGTGTGTGTATATAAATTGTGATCCAGCGTTGAATTGTCCTATATTTATATACACACATACACAAAAGTAAATTCATGACTCTCCACATCTTTGAAATTATATTCATTTATGTTACGTATTACAAGAAAATAGTAAAAAAAATAAAATTTCGAATTTTTAAAATTATGTACGTCATTTTTCTTACTTAAAAAAAAATATGTTTGTTGGGGCCTTGCCGAGATAGAAAGTTTTTACCTCGCTCGATTGGAGTACGCTTATGGGAGTTCGGAGTACGGGAGAATATTTCGGGTGGAAATATCACCGTATAAAAGAAGTCGCTAATTCAAAATTCGCTCGCTCTATCGCTTATAACGGCCACGGCTCGTCTAATTCCAAAAACGCGGATACTACCTTTCGCCCGTTGGCCTCCCCCTCGGTCCCGCTCCCCCGCGGGCCGAGCTTCTCGATCCAGCCAACCGCGAGGTACGGGGTTCAAGGGGAACCTCGGTATCGGGCACGTACCTTTCAGAATCTTCGACGGTAACACCAAAAAAACCGCGAGGGTTCGGCAATAATAACGCTGAATAATAGAATCACGGCCCAAGGGCACAGCCAAATCGGTGACGGCTGAGTTTGCTCGGCAAAGTTCCAACAATATTTATAAATTTATCATGACATACAAGAAATATTCGAATATCCGCAAATATAAGGAATATTTGCATATCCTTTTTTAATATAAGGAATATTTTTATATTCTTTGATCGTTATACTTACACACGCGTATGTTAAGATAAAGATTTTTCATTACTTTACAGGAACTGTATTTCTAACAAATATAATAAGTTTTTTCTTCGAGTTGCCTCGAATTATACGACATATTCACGAGTTTAACAATAAACGAGGAAGTGAGAATTGTCAGACGAATCTTTTATCGCAAACTTTCCGAGGGATTTAATTTCCGTCGCGTGTAACGGGAACGATACGCGGTGTTTAATGCGATGTCGTCAAAGGTGGCGGATTTGACGCGAACCAATGACAGCGCGAAACTTTATTGTTGCGTGGGCAACAGTAATCTAAAATTGCTGTCAGTTACGGGTTGGCGCTCTTATATAATGAACAACGAAGCGATAATAAGCAATGGATAATTGGACAATTACAGGCCTTCTCGGCTATATCGCGCTGTGTAGATGAATGAAAAATTAATCATTTCGCTCCAGTATCTGGAGCATACAAACAAACAACAACAACAAACTAGAAATATTTCTGCATTGTTTCATAAAGAATAAAAACAAGAATATTCACATAAAGCTCTAATAAGATTGCTATTGTATATTTTTTTCTATATTAATTTCAAGAATTTTACACTGTAGGTAATTAAACTCTAAAATAATAAAAATAAAAACAGGATGAAAAAGAAAGAGAGAGATAAGAATAGTTTTTTTGATTAAACGAGTTTTGATAAAATGTGATGGGTACTCCTTCTCTGAAAATTATTTTTTTTTTGCTCCTTTCTGTAATCTAGTTTTGAAATAAAATTAATATATATTTCTCTGTCTCTTTTTTCTCTCTTTCTTTCTCAAAAGGAAAATAATTGGATCCATAGATGAACAGACAAGAATAATTACAATTTCGAAAAAGAAAGCGAATTTTGTGCAACGTGATAGAACAAAAACCGGGAAGATGAGTATCCATTTTATATGTCATGCGATATTCTCGGCATTTGCAAAATGATTCAATGATTTAAGTTAAATCGCTCTTCTCGTCCAAAGATCACTTTATTGTCGCGTTATCTTTGTGCGGAAAGGTTTTTTTCACAAGAACTCGCTTAAAGGCGATTGGCAGGGTCATTTCGTAGATCCTTAACTTTAAATCTGATAGGTCAAAAGAATGAGTCCTTTTAAAAAATGATATCTATAACATTTGCTCGATACCGCTCTGTGAGCTTATCATCTCATAATGTTAATGAAATATAACATATCTCAACGCGATAGAAAAATGTATTTATGTATTTATTAGATTTTATCTGTTTATATAATTATTTTTATATTCTGTTTTATTTGTTTGTTTATGACACTTATTTTTATTAGTAAACATGTACACCGTGAAAATAACATATTCAATTATTATAAATTTTATTTAATATAGTATACGATATATATGGTTCTGCACGGGACATTCTCTGCATATTTATCCTATTTTTTGTATTTATATTATTACTTTTATACTTTTCCTTTATATATTATTTTTATAATATTACTTATATCCTCATTGAAATTTACAGACAATTAGCAAACAAAACAAAACGTATAATGAAAATATCAAATTAAGACTTGTACGATTTAATTCAACATCACTCGACTGACGAAACATTCTGCTGCAATATAATATTATCGCACTTTAAAACGAACGGGTACGAAGCGGTTACGGCGGTACAGAATATACGAAAACACACCTTATCGTTATTATCACGAGGCGCAATTTATTGCCCTTTACGATCTGCGAACGTGCGGGCATGTAAGAGGCTGCATCGGCGCCCTCGACATGTATCGGGGAGTATAACATCCCTTTTGTGCATTTCGCGGTCGGAGTTCGATAAATATTCACCTCGATACATTCGCATAGCAGGTGGCTCATCTTCTCTCGACGGCTATAGGTGCGATTTATCGACGAGTGTTTGGATACTCGATTCGAGGAGAGATGACGGACGCGCGGCTGAGAGACGCCATTGTAACGCTCGTCTTCGGGATAAGGATAAGGATGCTCTTTCTTAGAGGAGCGTCGCAACGCGTCGCGCGTTGTGCGTTGCTGTCGCGTCGAGACGCGACGGGAAAATCCACCGGTCTCTTCCTTCACCGGAAAATGCTTATCGCGCCATATGTATGCACGCGAGCGAAAGAAACAGAGCGTCCTCTCTCTTTCTTTCTCTTTCTGTCTCACATATGTATCTAAGCACGCTTCCTGTCACCGTCGTTTTGGACGATCGATCTTTGAATTTTGCTTGCATGCGCTTATCGGCTTAATCGATCTTATCGATAAGGGGCTATGTTTGCGTCTCGCATACTCGTCACCGTTTATTCACCTCGGCATTAAAACGTACTGCATATCGCGTTTCCGATATCGCGATATCCATATTTTATCAACGTTATTAAGCGTTGTTGATTAATTTCTTTCGAAATGTGGTTTAGAAGATTTTATGTAATTTTTATGTATGATAACATAAATATGCGGAAAGTAAACGAAAGTAACGACTTTATTATTACAAATTAAGCAAGAAATAAGTAAGAAATAATTCACAATAGAAAATAAAAATATTCATAAATATGAAAAATTAGCAAACAAAACAAAACGTATAATGAAAATATCAAATTAAGACTTGTACGATTTAATTCAACATCACTCGACTGACGAAACATTCTGCTGCAATATAATATTATCGCACTTTAAAACGAACGGGTACGAAGCGGTTACGGCGGTACAGAATATACGAAAACACACCTTATCGTTATTATCACGAGGCGCAATTTATTGCCCTTTACGATCTGCGAACGTGCGGGCATGTAAGAGGCTGCATCGGCGCCCTCGACATGTATCGGGGAGTATAACATCCCTTTTGTGCATTTCGCGGTCGGAGTTCGATAAATATTCACCTCGATACATTCGCATAGCAGGTGGCTCATCTTCTCTCGACGGCTATAGGTGCGATTTATCGACGAGTGTTTGGATACTCGATTCGAGGAGAGATGACGGACGCGCGGCTGAGAGACGCCATTGTAACGCTCGTCTTCGGGATAAGGATAAGGATGCTCTTTCTTAGAGGAGCGTCGCAACGCGTCGCGCGTTGTGCGTTGCTGTCGCGTCGAGACGCGACGGGAAAATCCACCGGGCTCTTCCTTCACCGGAAAATGCTTATCGCGCCATGTGTATGCACGCGAGCGAAAGAAACAGAGCGTCCTCTCTCTTTCTTTCTCTTTCTGTCTCACATATGTATCTAAGCACGCTTCCTGTCACCGTCGTTTTGGACGATCGATCTTTGAATTTTGCTTGCATGCGCTTATCGGCTTAATCGATCTTATCGATAAGGGGCTATGTTTGCGTCTCGCATACTCGTCACCGTTTATTCACCTCGGCATTAAAACGTACTGCATATCGCGTTTCCGATATCGCGATATCCATATTTTATCAACGTTATTAAGCGTTGTTGATTAATTTCTTTCGAAATGTGGTTTAGAAGATTTTATGTAATTTTTATGTATGATAACATAAATATGCGGAAAGTAAACGAAAGTAACGACTTTATTATTACAAATTAAGCAAGAAATAAGTAAGAAATAATTCACAATAGAAAATAAAAATATTCATAAATATGAAAAATACTTGGATTATTTTTTTTCATTTTCTACATCCATTAATAATTAATTATTCAAGTCAGAATATCTTTCTTTATCTTAGCTAAATTAATTTTATTATAATTTCAATTAAAATTCAACGTGATTATCTTTCGCGGTGTAAGACTAAATATAAGACTTTATTTCTCTATGTATCACGAGAAATTAATTTTTTCTCAATCGTTATCTTATTTACGTGACGACGCGACATCAGTTGGCAGGACAAGCATGTCCCTTTTGTAATTTCTGCGTGACTCGCGATTATTTTTGGCGTTTCCAATACGTTTTTTATTTTGTTCCGGCATGGCGTAGCAGTATGACGAATGGCAAGCGAACAAAAGGGAAAATAAATAAGAACGAGGATTCTCAGTACGCCGCGAGCTTTCATCGTCCGCTTTATCCTTATCCTCGCACGTACGAGGAGTCACGGAAAATGTGAGAGCAACAGAATTTATCGTCCTCCAGGACAGGGAGTCCCTTAAGAGCGTCCGAAGTACGTGCACGCGCGCGTACACATATACATACCGGAATAATACAGCGGGCTGAATAACGAATTGCAGCATCGTCATATATCACAATATCTCGTAAACAACAATGTAACATCCGCAAACTTGGCCCATATTGTTGTTAGCATTATTATTACTGTTACGAAGCATAAAGATCGCTAGCAAATTTTATAAAACAGCATCATTTATCAGTTAATTGAATTTTTCTAAGATTAAGGGTACAGCGACGTACGAGTCACGTGAAAAAGAATCTAAGCAAATCGATCGGACGACTCGCGGCGATGTTAAAAGCAGGATACCGCGATTTTCCCATGGCGACCATCAACCTGTTCGCCTTCTTCAAGTTATTCCTGTTCCGGATCTCCCCAGAGAAGCGACGGAAGGCCGTGAGAATGAGAGATAAGGGCGATTAGAGCCGGGGAGACCCGGGCGAAGGAGAAGTAAGTTCGTAAATCAGGATGTTACTCCCCTTGATCCGATTACGAACGATTATATTCCGCGCGGAGTCTCCGCAAGAGACTCATCATCGCGTTTGGGTCTTTCACAATAAGTCGACCGATTGCCTCATGGCTTTTTCTCTTTCTATTTTTTCTCGTTGCCTCCGTCTCCTATTCTTGCTTCTTATAACGATAGAACATCAGTGACTCTCTTTTTCGACTTGTCGGATATATTACTTACGCTATTAATGTATACGATGAAAATAAATTTTTGTAGATTTTTTCTTTTTCCTGAAATTATTTTTTAATAAAAAACTGTATTTAAAAATATAATATTATATGATTAAAGTAATTAAGTACTTTAAAATTTGGCATTTCTATTAAAACGTGATTCGGTTCTCTATTTAATCCTTTGCATTTTCATAACTTCCTCTTCAAATAAATATTATTATTTATGTAATATTGAAGAATTTGACAAATTTCAATTCATGACGTTCCGAGGAGGAAGACGAGCTTGTTGGTTTGTATCGAGCTGCCGATAGCAGCAGGATGCAGAACTGGTAGGACGGGACGGGACGGGACGCGAGGGGCGGGATGCGTCGAGACGTCGTTTAACAGATGGGAAACAGATAGAGATGTTGCCGGATAACAATCGAGGATGCGCCGGGACGGATTGCGCGCGTTGCCATCTGACGAACAATGAATCGCAGCCGACCTCCGAACAGAGAGATGGAATTTGCGTGGTCTCGGAGCTGCATGTGATATCGGAAAATCAGAGAGAGGGCTTCCCAAGCTGCGACAATGCATTCCGAACATATTGCTCCTCGGGATTCTTTCCGTCGGGTTGCTGCTGCATCGTCGTGTCGCGCTGGATGTGACGTGCAATCGCTCGAATAAAGCTTTTATTTGTCGGAACGCGCCATTATTTGTACGTTTAATCGCGAAAACTTATGAAACGAACGATGGCAAGTTGCCAGATATTTCTGCATATTTATTTTTTACGGCGACATGAATGCAAAGTGATTTTTCGTAGGATTCGTATTAAATTTCGACAGGAAATATATTCGATGTCCCTCTTTAAGATATGTAAGAAATAAATCTCTCTCTGATAAACACGAAAATTTTTCGTTGACAGTCGAATCCATTTATCTATCTGATCCGTAATCAAAAATATTTAGTGTCCATTATTTTCTTATTATAATGGCGCATATTAAATGTAATATATTAATTGTTGAAAAAGATGCAATTATTGTTGCTACCTCTCCATGACAAAAGTCCATTTTTATTCCTCGTATCCAAATCGTGTGTACGCAAATCATTTGCGGGATGCGTCCCTGGATTTATGTCACTGTGTGGCATTATGCAGTCACATGACGGTTTCGCCTGACGTTGCGTCACGCGGTTAGTATCCATCGAGTTCTATCTATCTATGGACATACAAATTGGTTCATCACGCTCCTCCTGTGTATTTCACTGTCTTCCTTTCTCTTTCTCTCTCTCTTTTGCGGAAATGCCATGGTGATATGTCCCGGTTAGTCGTGTACTTCGTCTTTGGACAGAATTTTCGATCGGGCAAAGTCTCCACGTTCCTATCGTGCCGCGGTTGTACGGTTCGATTAAATTTCCCCGGGATCCTATGTGGTTACGGAAGTCTGGTATCTGGTATTCGACCGTCCGTCCTGCGGTCAATGGCTGTTATGTAATAAATGTTCGGCGATCCTTAGTAATTACCCGAAGTTTAATCGCTCGAATACATGCGATCTTTGACCCCATCCCATGATAGAAACATTGGTAGAATTATATCAGTAAGTAGAATTTATATATCACTTTTTTCATTAATTCTTTTTAAGCGTAAGAATTGATAAGAAATATATATAAAAAAAACCAATTTATTTAATATTATCGGAAAAGAGAGCGCCGCGTAAAATCAAGATAAAATGCTCTTTGTTCAGATATAAAAATATAATTAATATAAATATATGTGTATATTTTTCTAAGATATGCAAATAAAAAAGAGAGGTTTTTTCGCGACCGAATTAAAGAGGAATGAATCTTAAACTTTCACATAAGCCGCATAGTTTGCAATGCCACAGCGGTTTTTGTTTTTTGCCAATCGCATATAGCCATTTTCGCCCCAATTGTCGCCCCACCAGTTCTTCAGAATCCACTCTGTTGGCGTGTATCCGACGATTAACATCGCGTGGTTCACTGCGTCCGAACTGCACAAGTAGTCGTCATAGACGCCTTTACTACACACAAATAAAAATACCGATTAATATTTGAAGAGTTATTTCTGATACAAATATATCTAAAATGTGATAATTTTCGAGATGTATAAATGTATGATAATTATTTGCAGTTGATAAGAAACTAAAGTTAGACGATTCGCTTGTGGTAAGCGGAGCAAACATCCTGGCATATATCAAATCCGATACGCAAAATAAAGATCGGAGTAGAAGAGAAAAATATACATCGCGTGAGAAATACGTTCTCCAATTAGAAAATGTGAATCACCGACATTGAACCCGTGTGAACTATACATACGCTATTATTGACGCGATCGCGTTTCCAATTAATATACATTACATAGTCTTCTTTATTTATTGTGACACAAGCATTCGGAAGTGTCAATCGCGCTTCGTGAGTATCCTCTCATTGTCAATCGAAAATGAATAAGGTGAGAGGGGAAATAGTCACAGATTCTTTAGAATGAATCAAGTTCAACGACTGCGTTTTGGCGTTTAGAATGAATGAGGGTTACCATATTGGCGATGCGTTAAAAGGTTATCACGCGATTGGACCAATTTCTTCGGTGCGGGTTCGGGCAAAATTTTCAATCTTCACGCCTTTCATATAAAGATAGCACGCAGTATCGCCATTTCCAATTTTATATTAGTCGAGCTTGTCAGAGATATTATGGGACTTGAATAATTTAACATTCGAATAAATATACATATTTAAAAAATCCAAACATGTTTGAATATTATTACTTAAATTCTTATTTTTAAATAAATATCAAGTATATAAAAATTTCACAAAGTAAAGTTTTAATTAATTAACTATCGAATGGAAAACTTTTAAGATATTAATAACTTTCTCAGAATTTCTTTTTCACGCAATTATTTAGTAGACTTGATAGCACGAGCTCATCGTCAAGTAATTAAAAGCTGAAATATCGATCTAACTCGTGAGATCAGTACAAGTTCAAATAAATGCGCATCTGGTAACGATAATAATAATCAGCTGCGATCGATCAAAAGTTGAATCCACGTTAAACCGACAGTGACGTTTTTGCTTGCGTAGTATTTCGAGAAATCGCGCCAATGTGTATGTCGAGAGATCGATTAAAATATGAATTAAGTTATTTATTGTTGGATTACGTTTGTGATTAAGTATCTGTGCAAGAAAAAAAACTGTTTGTCATCGCTCTTTTTTTTAAATTTACGCTGAGTGCATCGTAATATCACGTTTTCCATTGACGCGCATTTTTTTTTCTTTCATATATCAATTAGTGGAGCCATAAGCGCCATAAGTTATAGCAAATGTATAATTTCTGTGGTTTTGCGTAATAAATAGCAGGTGTCTGAAATTATCACGTATTTTTTGAACGTCGCGATACGTTCGTCGCGATTTGCGAGTACGTCACTTGCTCGTTAGCAGCAATTTGCACGAGTGCGTTTCTTTTTTCGGAGCAAATAAAATGAGATACTAACTGATAAAGCTGAAATGTCTTTGGGCTAGCGTTTATAGAGGCGGCTACGGGACCAATGGTCGCTACTGCTGCTTCCAAAGCTTTTTCATCCCGGGCAGGCAAAATTGCCCATGACGTTATATTGACGACGCTAAGGTCCTTTTGAAATCTGCACATTCCTTGCTGAAATAATTTAAGAGTTACCAGACATGAATTTATTTAATAGAATAAATTAAATAATATAATAATAACTTAATATTTAATTACTACCTTTTATAGATCTATTTATAATCTATTTGTTTTTGCGTCATGAAAAAGCGGTCGTTTTTAAGATCTTTCGAATTCAAAATTAATCTCCTGTTCTCAAATAGTTGATTAGTTTCATGACCGCATGAAACTATTATCAAAACAGATATTTTCGCTGTTATTATTGAAATGTATTCTAATTATATATATG